TCAGTGCGCGCGTTATATCTCGAATATATCCCATAAAATATACAACCAAGCGTATCCTTTTGGAAGTCCTATAAAGTGTATGTATGTATGTATCCCAACTGACCTGTCGTTTCCTTTCTTCCATCAGCTCCTGTTTCCTCTTTTCTTGATCCATTTTCATTTGTTCCATTTCCCTTTCTTTCTCTCTCATTTCCTCCTCTCTCTTCTTTTTTTCCTCTCTCTTTCTTTGTACTTCCAGTTTGCGCCTTTCAGCTTCAGCAGCTCGTCTCTGTTCTCTTTCTTCCCGCGCTTTTTTCTTCGCATCTTTTAGTTTTTCCATCGCCTCTTCTTCCTCGCGTCTAGCGTTTTCTTCTTCTTCAAGACGTTTTGCTTTCTCTTCTTCAATGGTCTGTTGCTTTAATTCCGCTTCTTCTCGAGCTCGCGCTTGTTCTTCTTCCTTCTCTTTCAGTATTCGTAATTCCTCATCTCGTTTTCGCTTCTCTTCTTCTCTCCTTTTCTTTTCTTCGTCTTTTCGCTTCTTTTCTGCTTTTCTCGCCTCAGCGCGTTTCTTTGTCAGCTCTTGTTTAGTGGGTTTCTTAGGTTTCGATGGCGTGTAAGCATTTTTCATCTCAGGGGGGATGGGTGGTGCTATTTGTGGTACACTGACATGCTCTTTGTTGCTCGCAGCTTCTGGTTTCTCAGTCTCCTCAGGGAGCGGTTCCTCGTTATTTCCCTTTTGTTGGATAAACTGCTTCAGTTCTTCATCCATGTGTTCCATCATCTCAGGCGTGTTGAACGCATCAAATTCTATATTGTTTGGGTCAACTTTTATATCGTTTTTCTTTGCCGCTTTGGCAGCCTTCGCTGCTTTTGTCTTCTTCTTCGCCTCCTTCTATAAAAGTACAAATACAAAATTCATCTTTAATAAACAAGATTCAACAAAATTTATCCCACAGAATGCCGCGGTACAAAAATTACACGTGGCATCTTGCAGTACGTATACGCGTACGTATATCTAAGTACGCATATATAAGTTACGATATCTCCACTCCTCGAACATTTTATCCCGCATACATTCAATGTATAGCGCACTCGAATAGAGCTCGGGTAACGTTCTTCAAAACGTCAGTTTAATCAATGCAAGCTTGCTCTAATCCCAGCACTTGTTTCAGAAGTTTATACTTTGAGCATACTTTGATCGGTCAACCTTTGTTTGATTCATCCAATCAGAAAAGGTTTCCGGAACAGGCGCGCCAAAAATTGAGCATTCCTTGAATTCTGGAAGAATGGGAATCATTTTTTAATAGCAAATGAATCACCTGGAACTTACTAGAGAAAAACCCCATGAAAAAGGAGAGAACGACACTTCACCAGTGGAATGGTATTTATGCGTTTCTGCAGTTGGGAGGAAAACTGGTACCAAGTAATACGCGCGCTGAATTATGGGGCTGCTAAGGGGACGCCATTTTTTTCGTCATACTCAACTTCAACTACCTTGAAAGACAGACCGAAAACCAAAGTAAATATAAATGTCACTCGATTCAAAAAACCTACGAGATAAATGGCCTCCCTAAAACAGTCCCATGATTCAGTGCGCGACCTACTCGTTACCAGTTTTCTGCCTAACCTTAAAAGTCAATTAGCGCATTCCGAATCCTAAACTACACTTCYTACTAACCTTTTCTTTTGTAACTTTTTCAGATTTGTTTCTGTTGATCAGCGCTGCCAAATCAGACAAATCATTCTTGGCTGGCTCTACAGGTTTTTTAGGAACCTCTCTTTCCTTCCTCGGCGTTTCAGGCTGCGAGAACACGAACGACGCAGTTGGCGCACCAGAAATCGAAGACACTGAACTTAGCCCGTCATCAATCTCTTTACCAACCCTCTGCAAACCCACCTGGTCGAACTGGACTGGAGGTTTGGGCTTTTGAAGGACAATATTGATGTAATCATTCCGAGGCTCTGGTTCTTGAACCGATGAAATTTTTTTCGAAAAATCATGAATTGTCTCTGAGTCTTGAGGTTTTTGCTGAGTTACTTTGTTTTCCGTCAAATTTTGGGTCGCGCTCAAGTTTGGCTTTTCAGTTTTTGCCAAAACTTCAGCGACCTTCTCAACTTTTTTTACTGTCTTCGAAACAGGTTTTCCTTGCTTCTTATCTTGTTTTTCTGGCTTTTCGATTAACTTGTCTTTGACCAGATTTTGATTTTCAACCTGTTGATCAACCAGTTTTACTAGTTCACTAACAGGTTCTGATGCATTTTCTTGGGTTTCTCTATCCAAGCCTCTTATTCTTTTTCCTGACCGCGGTCTCTCCTGAKGCTCTTGCCCAGTCTCCAAATACTCGATAACAGACTCATCGACCGCGACTGGCTGTTGCCTTTCGAGTTCACTCACCGGTGAACTGGGTCGGGATCTTTCGATATCTATTGTCTCTTGGTAAATACTTGGAGAGACGGATCTTTGTAAATTAGTAGCTATATCGTTCCTTTCAATTACTTCTATTCTAGGTGGCGGGGTAGCTGTAGTAATTGATGGAGTTGAGGACTTTTGAGGAGCCTGGGGCGGCCATTGATTGGTAGCATCCGCTGACACAGAGTCAGCATCGTTCTCGTCATCGTCATCTACAAATTTCAAATTGCAAGTCATTCGTAAGATTTGATTAAGACGGAAACGAAAGGGAAAAAGAAATGGAGTAATTGGGAAAACAAGAAAACAAAAAAGAGAGGGATGGATGGAGGAAAGGAAGGGAAGAAGAGAGAGTGGAAAAATAAATCACAAAACCAACCAATTATAGCAGGAACTGGTGATGGCCTGGCAGATATTGGTGTTGGAGAAGAAGAGTGGGACTGGACACCAGTCGCCCCAGTCTCTGAAGGAGGTTGGGCATCCAGGCGATCATTTTGTTCATTGTGCTGGTCAGGTGGAGCTATTGAAATAACAAGACAGATTCAAAGGACGTGTCAGATCGAGGAAGAATTTTGAACATAAAGTAACCAGCTATTTATAAAAGTTGGTCGCTTACACGAGAGTGCACAGGTCAGTTGGTGAATCTTAAGTTCATCTTATTCCCTAAAATATAAGGCATCTCTCTTTCTTTGAGTTACTCCTGATTATTAGAGACCTTTAGCACCAGGTTTACCGCTAACCGCTAACTGCTAGGGATCAGGGCCCGAAACACGGAGAAACATTCAGCATCAATGAAATTCAATGCGGCGGCTCTTCCAGCAACGACTTCGTTATGACGCCTTACTAAACGTCGAACGTTGCACGGAAAACACCTGACGCCGAACTGCAGTTTGAGGTTTGCGGTACCTAGCAAGAACATCGTGCTAAAAGTTTCTATTAAGAACATCAACACCTTCCCGTTCGTTCTTCATAATCTTTATTCTCCTCTTTGCCACAGGGGTTCCCGAGTGCAAAAGAAAAACATTTATGGAGTATCCTGTGTACTTGTGCAAATACCTACCGGGGCTCCATGTTGCATTGAGACGAAATAATCCTGAGCTGCCAAGTGATGGTGAGGGTGGCAGGTCAATATTCACTTCTGAAATAAGATAGAAATTATTCGTAAACTTTAATATATAAATAGATTTTAGAAACGACAAGGAAAATGCTAAAAGCGCATGCAGGATTAAGGTGGCTTCCAGTAGGTTTTTGAATGCTGAAAGCGCATGCGCGATTAAGGTGGCTTCCAGTATGTTTTTTTTTTTTTTTTTGACACACTTTTGATTAGGTCGGTAAATAATAAGTCCTATCTTAAGTGGATCGATTAGAAATCTAAGGTCTAAACTTTTAGATCATTTTCATTTTTTTATCCATAAATTTAGGACCATACTTCCAGACATCGAGTGCTGAACCGTCGTATAGCAGCGCGAAGCATTTACGGCTACGCCGGAGATTTCGACCCCGACGCCGCTATCCGTGGATTTACAGACTGATCAGGAAGCTCGTTGGAGCCTAAGGGAGAGGTAAGTCGGCCCCTAGACCGTAGATGATTAACCCCTTGCTGTGACCAGCAGACCCGATATGCCATTTCTTTGCTGATGGGCAACTATGTTTGGTTACTCTTTCCCATGTGGGACGCGCTTTGAAAAACAAGCGACGAATATCTACTCGCAATCAGCCAAACTTGAGGGTAAAAATCAAAACTGAGACCTTATTAATTACTTTAAGAGATTTTGACAAGTCATTTTTAACATCCATTGGTACGATAAAAAAGGATCGAAAGAGACATGCGTAATGAGATACACTAAAAGGCGCGCCATCTTAGGTCAACAAAAAAATAACACTAGGAGCGAGCCACATTATACAGGAGTATCATTGATTATTATTGATTCGTAATAGAACATCAAATAACTTATATGTGATACCTTCGGCTGCGCTATCGTAGCCTCCTAAGTTATCATCACTAGCCACCAGTCCCACATCCACAGGCCAAGCAACGTCGGGCGAGTCCAGATCCCTCTCGTTATCACTATCTTCAACGAAGGGTTGGTGTCGAGAAATCACTTCTATTAAATCATCAATATTTGCCTCGCTTCCGAGCGTTGCCAAGGTTACATTGGTTTCGTCTCCAGGTATGGAAATAGGTGCACTGAAAGGTCTAGATTCCCTTCTTGATTGATTTCTTGTTCCACTCGTTTCGTTTTGGTGAAGTCTATTCGAGGCCGACTTACTTCTCAGCTTTATTCTTCGTCCTTCGAAATTATAGCCCACAGATAGAACATCATGCTTGCTTCGTTGAGACATATTTAAACTACTCCTTCGGCTCCCTGCACCACGTGATGACAGGTCACGTGACATGACATCGTCATGAAGTATTGGTGACGTCACAGAACTGCGTTCATGGTATGCATCTGAGATGGAATCATTACGTAATTCAGCGGTACCCATCTCCCTGGACATAGCCGAGCCACTTTTAGAGGGCATGCGCGCGGACGGGGGAGGTGCGATCAGGCTGCTGGGATCATCATACTGCAGTGACGTTGCCGCTCTTTCATCTTCGGGGTCTGCATCGTCGAGATGTGAGGTCCTGGAAAGACTACGAGTGTAAGCACGTGATCTTCCCGACATGCTTCTCGGTCCATGTTGGTTTGAAACACTGGACATACTTTCGCTTCGACTGTGGAAACCGTTTGTTCTTGTTTGGTCTCCATGTTCGATATCTTTTGAAGAAAAAGAGTCAAAGTTTGTTAGTTATCTCGTCTTGATTCGAGGGCTTTTCTCCCGGTTCTCCGATTTTCCTCACTCCGCAAAACCTAACTGGCTTAATTCCAATTCAATCTGTGAATTAGCCGTGCCCTGGCATAGACATACGGTTAACTCATTTTGTTTACGTACCTTCATTTTTTTCTGCAGTTGCATCGTACTTTTCTTTACTCTTGAATGATCGAATACTGCGAAATGACACAGCACTAACTGGTCTTGTGTGGGATCCCTGTGAGTTCTCTTCTGCTTCCTCTATGACGTCATCAGCACGACTCCAATTTTCCGACTAAAAAAGAAAAAGAAAAAAAATTATTTATTTATTTTATTCCTAATATCTTCAAAGAGTGTTCTCGTAGTTGTCTAATTCCTCTAAAGACACTAACAACGACATTTTCTTTATACCATTTCTCCTGTATTTAATTGTAATTGAGTGTGAACACTTACCATCCCAGCAAGCGTTTCAAACCTAGAAATACAACCATACTCTGGGGATCCCCCTCGGGAAGAAAGAGAATAAAAAGCTGGTGAAGCATTCCTGCTGAACTTTAATCGCGGGCTCGGCCCTCTTCTGACGTTTCGACCTGTCATGACGTCAGCACGTAAGATGTCTTCGAGGTGGTCTGGTGTTGAACCCAATGCTGAAATAAACGAGTCGGAATCTGATTTCAGATAAATGGATGAATGAAATAAGAAGTTCATAATAAGGGTCAAGTTCAGCCTTAGAATAGACCTCTTTACCTTGAGCGTAATGTTTTGCCCATTTCAGACCACGTGTCATTCCCTAGAGTATCATTTCTTTGTTTAATGGTTGTGCATGAGAAGAGACATGAATATGAATACAACTCAAACAATGAATCTTATTCGCAAGAGAATAACATGATTTCTAAAATGGGAAAACGTTACGCCCAAAATAAAAAGGAGTATATATTTCATAAAATTCATTCAGAGCTAAATGTATTGACGTAATTTGTAACCTCGTTTTGGAGGCGGTCTCTTTCCACTAGTAATCCTCGGGTTGGCTCGCAGTGATTCAGGGGCAGGAGGTAACGGAGCGGTCCTGGGTCTTATAGCATCATCGGTGTAGTAGTAGGGATTAGCATAGCTGTAACTTAAGCTGTTGGGGTTTGGAGTAGATGAGTAGGTTTTGCTTAGGTACCCTGTGGCTTGATGAGACGAGTAGACGTCATAACCTTCATATTCTGCCTCTTCTTGAAAATCCCTGTTGAGAATATGATTTTCTGTTTTAATAAGGCTGTCATAAATCTCTCTCTGATTGGGCGAGGCGCGCGTGCGTTATGAGAGCACACAGCATGCTCTTTTTTTTTTTTTTTTTTGTATCGAAATGAAACTATTCTATAATTTGTAGCTTATGATAGAAATTGCTTGTTCCCTGTGCGGGGGACAGTTATAATAAAGCGAGTGCTGTGCTTCCTCTGAGACTTTCTTCATGTTCTCTCAATGGCTGCGACGCGTGCTTTATAAATGCACACAGATCGCGCACGCAAAATTAAAAAACGTGTCGAGCGCGTCGTGCTTCTTAAAACAATCTCGGGTTTTGCCAATATTCCCGCGCGTCTTTTATAATAACTGTACGCTGCACGCGCGCGATTTTCATCGATATTTCCATCGTGCTTCTTCTGCCAACTCCCGCGCGTTCTTTATAACTGCACATACCACGCGTTTTTTATTTCTTCATGCAGGTAAATACAACCAGTTAATTTAACTTACTCATCATCCATCAAATGATTGTCATCTGCCATATCTTTCTCTTCTTGTTGAAGGTGATGGGCCTGTCTGTTCCATCGTATGTATTCTTGTACAATGTCTGACAGATTGTCATCTTCCAGGAGACTCTCATACTTACGGCACGAGTATGGAGTCTGTGAACCTGATCTCCGGTGCGAACCCAGTCCCCTGTAAAATACAAACTTGGTTAATTATGCAGGTATTAACGGACCAAAGTCATTCATTTTGGGATAAGTGTGAAGAAATGTGCACTGCCAGTTGCTTATGGAATAATTGCAATTTGAAAGGTTTTCCCCACAAACATTTGGTCGATATAAGAGCAACCATCTGGAAATATTCCATTTAGGTTTCAGAAATTTGATCTTCCCCACTTCAGTAGTAAGGATTTTTTTCCATATCCTCGTATGYGCAGGTTGGAAATCAAGGGTGGTGTAGGGGTAGTGCGTTCGCCTCACTTCTGGGGTCTCAGGTTGGATTCCTAGATTGGGCATCACATGTGCCAGCAAAGTTTGTTAGGTATCTCCCTTGATTCTAGAGTGTATCTCAGGGATCTCCATCTTACCTCTCTTCTCAAAACCTAAGCAGCTAAAATCTAATTTTATCTGTGAGTTAGCTGTGTACTGACTTTTATTAGTACAGAGGTTGTTTCAGGGTATTGATCAAATTTGATCTTTTCTTTCTTTCAAGGAGTTGTGGGCAATTTGAATTCCGTTCTTCTCACATACCTTGAGCTGCTTCTGAGTTCATCAAGATAAAAATCAGGATCACAGCCTGGCTGCGCGTGTTTGTCAGCCGTTAAGCACTCTGAATCCAGGTAATGAAGAAAGCGAAGGAATGCCTTCCTGTCACGCACTGTTTGTTGTTTTCCTTGACGATGAGTGTTGGTGGTCTTATTCTCCTTTGAAGGTTGTGTGCCTGGTATTCCTTCCCATGCTTCCTCTTCCTGGAATTAAAAAAGGAAAAGTCTCATGATCAAGTCCTAGTGTTTTGGAAATCAGTTGGTAATGTAGCATAGTTCTCTTGATTCAAAGTTTTTTTTCAATGTTCTCTGGCGCTCTTAGGGATCAATCATCACCATCATCATCATCACCACCACCACCCACTATCATCATCACATCATCATCATCATCATCACCTCCATCATCACCACCAACACCATCATTATCATCATCATCATCATCATCACCATCACCACAATCACTAGCACCATGTTCTTCATCACCATCATCATCATCATCATCATCACCACCAACATCATCATTATCACCAGCACCTTGTTCTTCATCACCATCATCATCATCATTGGCATCAACACCATCATTATCATCATCACCATCATCACCTCTTTCATCATCACCATCATCACCTCTTTCATCATCAGCTCTTTCATCATCATTCTCATCGCCATCATCCCACCAACAAATCATAAATGTTATCACTACTTCTGGCAAATTTCACTGTTATCACAGTTTATCACACATTTTCAATGACATTCACCCACTAGCTATAAACACATACCTCTTTTCCAAACTGAAGAACTGAGTTGATCAAATTCCCCACAGTCTTCAATTTTAATCCATCTTCGTAAACATTTGGTGGGGGTGGTGGGGCTTTATCTTCAGCTGCCAATAATTCCTCAGAAGGTGTGAATAGCAACAAGGCTCCTTTACGAGTTACAAATGTCTTGGGTAGTAGCAACTGTCCATCATTATAGGCCACATTACTGTCCAGCGACTTGACAGATTTTGTCTGCTGACATGATTTTAGTAAGATTTGAGGAAATAGAAGCTCATCTGAATACTAAAAAAGAAAATATATGTTAGGAAAAGATAGAGGATACTAACCTGTGTACAGGTGCTTCCCACTCCTCCCCCTATGGGGAAGGATGGGGAGAAGGGTGCTGGAGAAGAAATGATACGTTTTGAAACTGTACGATGCCCTATACCAATATACTGTCCTCAGACTAGCTGACCCTACTCCTAATAAAACCCTGGCACCCCTCCTTGGGCACCGCCCTGTAGGCATAAACATAGTTGCACAAGTACATGCAGTAATGTCAAAGAGCCATCTTAGTAGTATACGTAAAACACTTGGTGCACTTAAGACCAATAACATAGCCTTCAAATCTTATTATCAAACCCTGAAAAAACGTGGAGTAACTGGTCTAAGTGGGGGCTAGGCTTACTCTGCACAGATCAAAATATTGAATTCTAGATATTAAAAAATTTAATATTCAAGAAAGTATTGCAAAACTCATAATTGACAGAAGAAACCAGATTTAAGATTTTTATTTTGATAAATTAGAATATAGTAATATTTCTAAGCTCTATGCATCTATGATCATCATAAGATTATTGAAGAGTTATTTTCAATTGGCTTTAGAAATTATTCCTTTAAGCTGTAGTGTCATTGATAAAAAAATTATATAAGTGAATAAGCTTAAAAAGAAATAGAACTGGATAGAAATACAAATGATTGTATACTATTCGCCACGATGATATTATTAATGATTTATTTTTATTTTATTTTTATTATTTTATTTTATGCAGTAATTGCTTGCCAATCAAACCATCATTTTTTTTTCTGAAAAAAAAAATTTAAAGAAATCTATAGACAAAAACTTTGTCTTTACATCAAATATTTTTTTCAGTGTTTTATGAAAACGGGAAAAAACTGTCAATCAGTTCGTAAAAAAAGTCAAAAGATCAAAGCTGCAAATTAGGAGTACGTATATAAACATTGAGTTTTATACATGAATAAGTTAGTCGTGTTACATAAAAACATTATTTTCCAGATAAAAATAAATATTGCCTTTGAACGAGGTTTTAGACTTTATATGAATTTCTAGTAATTCTATATTTTATCACGCTGTGAATTCTGTTTGTATAAAAGTCTTTAAAAGATTATAACCAGCGTCCCGACATGCAAATTAGCATATTTCTGTATGTTTAGACAATACACGCGTCCAAATGAGCATTTTATAGGCTTTAGAAATAACTTCAATGCCTAACAGAACCACTCTTTATTAAAAGTATGGGTGGGAGAAACAATACCCGTTGAAACCGTCTTAAAATTTTGGTTTATTTATTGATATGCGAGGCCAACTTAGCGCAACTCAGCTTATTAATCTAAGGAGTACAGCTTTAAGAAGCAATAGGACAACTTATAGTGATTATGAACTTACCAATTGCTGAGGATTTTGATCAAGTTTAACTCCGCCATCCCAACTAGCAACCCCCTTAGCTAGAGGAGAAAACATTTAGTTTCAAGAAGAGATAATTCGAACAAATGTCATAACATCTTGTCCAAGTAAAGTATAATTTGATCTTTTGTCCGCGTATGCTTTCATCCTTGAATATGGTTGTCATGACGATATTCAAATGTTAATACAACAATGCCGGAAATAATCCAAGGTAATTAGTTAATTTAAGTTTGCAAATGAGTTCTTTGGGAATTAAAAACAATGAAGGTAAGAATAATAATAATGCCTTAAGTGTATAAGGCACTTAGAATTGTTGTACTTTGTGAGCAAGGTGTTTAGAAGGCTGTGTTTTGATTCAGATATGAGGGTCGTCATCTGGACTGTCTAATCGGTCACGTCCCATCGTCCTAAGTTCAACAAAAATGCCCAGGTGAGATAGCTGAGTGACTTCTAAAGCATAAAAAAGGAACGAAAAAAAAAAAAAAAAAAAAAAAAAAAAAAAAAAAAAAAAAAAAAAAAAAAAAAAAGAAAAAGAAGACAATAATAGAAAAGAAAAAGAAAAGCTAATTTATAGTATATCAAAAACTTAGAAGATCTACACAAATTCACACGCCACGCAAGTGAAATTTTCATTTAATTGGCGATCACAATTCACAACAAATTTAATTTTGTTAAATTATCCAATTAGTTTTTATTATCATTTTAGATATTATCTTTTTAGATATTATTTATTTCATAATCGTTTTTC